GAAATGTTGTTTTAAGAGGAACATCCTCAGTCAAATCTAATCAGGTTCATTTATTAGAGACAATGAATACAAATCAAATTTATTGTATCCCTCTAAAATGAACTGATTTTAAAACATGTTTTTAGCCAAAACCTTCTCAAAAGTGATGTAAAACAGTGTCTCAGACATCAGGCAGTGAATTCATAACCATTTTATGGAAGAACGTTCTGTGAAGGAAACCATTAGAGGTGGACGTCTGGTTCCTATCACCACCACTGTGAACAATTCTGACTCTGTAAGTTTCTCTAGAACATTACAGAGCATTTCACACCAAACCACTCTGAATGACTCTGTTTACATATCAGCGATTTGATTATGCAGGAATTTTGAAAAAAATCCTTTTAATAACTTACAGTGAGTTTATTAACGTTTGTCTTTATTTTAAAAAATGTCGTTTTTTGAGTAAATTAATGCTTTCTGGCTAGATGACTGACATTACATTTAAACAGAGAAACACCTATCTCGTACATCCACTCAATAGCCACTTTATTAGAAACACCTACCTTGTACATCCACTCAACGGCCACTTTATTAGAAACACCTTACCTCTCCACTGTGAACAATTCTAACTCTGTAAGTTTCTCTAGAACAGAGCGTTTTACACCAAACCACTCTGAACGACTCTGTTTACATCTCAACACTTAAAAATGCAGGAATTCTGAAATACCGATATAAAAACTATGTAATTTTCAGTTTTCCTTGGGTGTGACTGTCAGGCTTTGGTCTAACAGAGAAATTACTTGAAATTCAAACTGATGCTATTAATGTCCTTAAAGTCAACCTGAAAAAACAAAATCTACTACTTTTTTACCTTGTTAGCACGATTCATCACATCATATCATTTAAAGGTTGTTTTCCAGTAAAATCCCATCAACATGTTTTAAGTTCTGTTCTGCCTGATTTTTTATTATGTCACTGTGCACCAGTGGCCAAAATAATATTGACCAATAATATAATGTTTCACCTCCCTCTCCCACCACCACTTGCTCTGTGGCATAACCAGCATCATAAAGGTCCCAATGCATGCCCCCCAAATACAATATACAGCTTCCAATAAATAAATACACCAATCAGGCATAACATTATGACCACCTCCTTGTTTCTACACTCATTGTCCATTTTATCAGCCCCACTTACTATATAGGTGCACTTTGTAGTTCTACAGTTACAGACTGTAGTCCATCTGTTTCTCTGCATACTTTGTTAGCCCCCTTTTACCCTGTTCTACAGTGGTCAGGACCCCCATGGACCCTCACAGAGCAGGCACTATTTGGGTGGTGGATCATTCTCAGCACTGCAGTAACACTGATGTGGCTCTTACAGCACCTAACTCCACCCACTAGCATCTAACGTTAACCTAAATGTTTACATTAGACTGCCTATTAGAGATTTTATAAACAATGATTTGTTATAAATAATGAACAGATGATGTTGCAGGTAGTGAAGGTTCAGATGGATGAGCTGCATCGTGACCACAGGCGTCAGTTCTGTTTGTGTAGTGTTGGAAAGAACTGGTGAGGTATGTTGGTAATAACAGCGTCAGTATGTAGATGAGAGGCCCAGTACAGACTGCTCCCCCTGCTCCCCCAGTATTTACGCCTTTGATGCCGTGTTACATTCACTAATACATCACAGTACAGCAGGAGTTATGATCTCCCCTTCACGCTTTGATATTTGGCCTACTTTTTATGCAAATTGTAACCCAAGTTGTTTAATCTAGTTAGTCAGAACTAGATTAGCAATATGATACGAAGGCGAAACCATCTGATGAGAACTGGCACACATTAATGTAGGTCCACGTTTGATATAACTGGTTTCAAACTGTTAAACAAACACAGTTAAAATAACAGGCTCTCCAGTTTTTCAGTAGCTGATCATGAGCCTGTGGATTGTTATGTCCTGTTATTTCAGGTAACAATGCTGCTCAACCTGAATAGCCACAGGATGGCAGCAGTAGACTTGCATTCCCCACTGCCAGAAAAGAGCTCCCCCTGCTTTTAACACCTTTGCTGAATCCCCAATTCTCACCAGACTGTAACATCAAACACTTTTAGCCCTTTCTGCTCTGTTCGGATTAAAATGAGCTGATCACGAGACGTTTATTAGAGCTAAAGTAGGTTTTGTTTTGTAGTGTGGAAATGTTTGCACACACACCACTACAGATGCAAGCCAGATTAAAATGCTTGACATGTATATCGCTGCTGTCGGAAGAAAACCCTGTATCTCCATTTTTAATGGTTTTTGGTTTTTGACATCATTTGAAAATACCTGTTGCCCTTTACATTGTGTGTTAATTTCATGATGAATGGACTAAAATAAATGACCCAAAATGACTTGGAAAAAAGTCTGGTTCCATTGACTTACATTAAAAGTGAAGCATGTTTTTTCCTTCTCCTGTAAAGTTACCATTTTAGAGATATGAGGTTTTCTTCCGACAACAGCAATACACACACACACACACACACACATATGTATATATATATATATATATATATATATATATATATTAAAATGTGCAGAAGTGTGTCTCTGTAGATGTGTTCACTTATTTTCACTTAGAAAATAAACAACACATGGAATTTGACCAAAGGTGGACAAACTTTTTCACACAACGGTGTACATATCATCTTCATCATTGATCATTTGGCATGAAGACTGAATGGTACAGCTGTGTGGTTTTTCTAAGGCAGATAACAACTATTAACTATTAATTATTAATACCATTTGCATTGCAAATAATTGCATCATCATTTATAGATGATAAAATGAATATTATTATACTATTAAAAAAATTATAATCACTCTGGTAAAGTAGACGGCATCAACCCATGAACAGTATATCCACTGATAAGTAGTGAACAGAAAACACAAGAGTCAGTTATTTTATGATAAAGTTATTTTATGATAAACTTATTCAAACTTACTCATATTCTCTTTACAATGATTTATAATGAAAATTAATACTCTTGGCAAAAGCATGACTTGATGAACCTGATTCTGTATTGATTAGTCCATGAGCTGCCTATGAACCTCATAAAACCTGGCAAGAGAATGTCCTTCTGAAAAAGACTTTCTCTGTTGATGAGACTTTACTTTAAAAAATATTAATATAAAACAGAAGGTTTAAAATATACAGGGTTCTTTCTGTATCCAAATTCTGACAGATCCCATCCTTTGTTGGTAGTATGATAGCAGCAATAGCAACAGTTAATCCAGTAAACAGCGCACTACAATTATCTAAGCAGGACAAAGCAAACCATTCACCTTCTTAACACATTGAAGTGTGAACAGCGACCTAACGTGAACCCTGAGTTAAAAGAGAGCATTCTTGGTGACATTGTGATGATTAAATAGATGTAATTTAATTAGTGGTCTGCCAGACAGATGCTTCTCTTTTCTCCTTGACTTTATGCCAATGAGTAGAATTCCACACATCATTTTGTTCCAAAATGTATTATGCACAAAACATATAATACTACAAAGATAGTTTACCTGCTAACTCAGAGTATGGACATTTCTGGTGATATGGATATGTATCCTATAATTGTGTCACTGACATATTCAAAGGCATCATGTAAAATGAGAACAGGAGTGGACCCAGTACAGAGCCCTGGGGTACACCACAATGAATATCAATTGCTATCGAGACATGTGGTCTCCTAAATTAGTAACATTCATCTTTCAGTTAAACACCTTAAATCAGGTCCAGAAAGACTAATGCATTTTTCGATGTAATACATTTTACGTAGTGCTTAAGATAAAAAGGTACAGAACATTAAACATTGGTTACACTTTCTGATGAAAAATGATTGAATATTACTAAAAACAATTACTCGGAAAAGCATTTTGGAAAAGGATGATAAATTACACAGTACTGAGGAAACAAAGTAATTATTTCCAGTTTGATAAATGCTCTTTCAAGTGAGTCTGGGAAAAAAACATCTGTTTCTAATGGGAAGTTAATAATATTAGGCATGTAGGGAATTATACTTTCAACACCATCTGTAAGGAGTGATTTTGGAATTAGATTGAAAGCACATGTGGAGGGTCTTAAGTCACAAAATATTTCACTGACATTAGAAGACACTGGTGACTCTCCACACGTGGGCAAAGGGACAATAGCTACCTAACGAACTAAACAAATAACTAAATTTAAAAAGCACGATCAAATGATCAACATAAAAGCGGTAAAGCGACAATAACCCAGTTAAATGTTAAGAAAATTGCATTTAACTGGCTACTGTTAGCTTTTAATTAGGCAGCGCTTTGATGTAGATAATTTTGGAGTATTATTTATTTATTTATTTATTTACTTACTTAAAGTCTAAGAGCTGTTTTGCTAGATAGCGGTTGTGTCATTTTCATGTATCACATTGCATCTCCTTTCTTTTGATTCATTTTGATCATGTTGACCTTTTTATACATACAGTCATGCGCAAAAGTTTGTGCACCCCCAGCACATTGTCAATTTTCCGAATAAACATGAGTTAACATATCCTCTTTTGCACATAACACACACACACACATAAAACGTGGCCTGTGCAAAAGTTATGGCACCTTTATATTTCATTTTTTATTACTTTTCCAATATGATCATCTCGGTAAAAAAAAAAAAAAAAAAACAAGCAAAAACCTTTCAAATCATAAATTTTGAAACAAAACATGGTTTGTTTGTTTCCCTATAGAGAGTGTGTTAACCTAAACAATATATATATATATATATATATATATATATATATATATATGACTTTTTAAAGAATTCCCTGCGTTTTGAGGGGCTGTACAAATAAGTGTGATTGTTGTTTGGTTGTTGGTTGTATACTGGGCCATTAGTGGTAGCCTTAGCATTAGCGTTAGTATGAGTATTCTTATTAACCAATCCCAGGGCAGGAGGAGGCGCACTGCTGGCCAATCGTGGCGCAGGAGGGCGGGGCCTGTCTGAAAACGGGTGGGTTAGAAATGCGGGCTGAAGCTCGTATTTCCAGCATCCCGGAGCTGCTGGTGCGGAGCGGTCTGAGTTCAGCACGCGGCGCTCAGCATGTGGAACCGAGCAGCGGAGCTTCTCCTCCAGCTGGCGTGGACAGCCTGCTGTGTCACTGCCATCCAGAGAAAAGACCTTTTCCCTTATGGACCCCTCAACGGCGACCTAACTCTGCCGGAGGGAGACGATGAAACGTCCAAAGTGATGACCCTGACCAAGCCCATGTACTTCTACGAGACTGCCTTCAGCAACCTATACGTGAGTTTTTACCTCAGAACAGACACGCAGAGCATAAGTATGGCTTTATTCATGAACCCTGTGAGGAGTAGATGATGATAGGCACCGTAAAGCAGGAGTGAGTAGTGGAGCGTTTGGTGGAAAAGCACAACTTGCTGCAGAAATGTGTGGTCAGTGGGTCAGTCATTCATTTGGGAGGATCCAGCCATGACTAACTCTGCTCAGTGTCAGGTCTGGCTGTTTATATAACTCCTGTTTGAGCCGTTGAGGTCTCTTGGTTCATTCACTTGTGGCAGGATTTCCTGCTAGTTTGGATGTGCTTGGAGAGTGTTCAGTCTCCTAATGATTCCCAGAATCCACACAAACCACATACTATTCAGAGTATTTTCATAGTTTTGTTGAGTGCAGCACTAAAAATGTCCAATACCAAGCCTAAAAGCCCTTTTTTCCCAAAATTACTGCATAATTCAGTGGTTCAGTTGTGATTCAGAGTGGTTTGGTGTGAAATGGTTCAGATGTCTTTACAGTGGTGGTGATAGGAACCATGACTACGACACAAATATAGACATTTTATTTACTATCCAAACCCACCAGTGAACCTACACGAGTCTTCTGAGTTTTATATGGAAAGTTGATGATGGGAAAATAGTCGTAAAGCTGAAAATATTTCTCTGGTCTCCGGAACTATTTTGCCTCACAACACTCTGCATGTATCCCTCCACCACAAATGCGGTTAAAAAGGAGGTTGTTTTGGCTGAAACCTTCTCAAACCTATCATAAAACAGTGTCTCAGACATCAGGCAGTGAATCCATAGCCATTTCATGTAGTAACTTTCTGTGAGGGAGCTTTTAGAGGTGGACGTCTGGTTCCTGTCACCACCACTGTGAACAGTTCTGACTTGGTAAGTTTCTCTAGAGCAGAGCGTTTCACACCAAACCACTCTGAATGACTCTGTTTACATCTCAACCATTTAATTGTGCAAAATGTTCTAAAAAAATGGTGGAATTCCCCTTTAAACTGCTCTATGGGTATGTCTATATCAGTAATGGTGATATGAGAGTAGATAATGGGAAATTTTTAAAGGGCCCATATAATGAAAACTGATTTTCCTAGCATAAAATTAATAAGTAAAATTAGTTTGAGGTAGTGTTAAAGTTTCAAAACTGACTATTCACTCTCCAGTACATACAGTCCACATATCGCTGTTATTGGAAGAAAACCTCGTATCTCCAAAATGGTAACTTTACAGGAGAAGGAAAAAACATACTTTACTTGTAATGTAAGTCAATGGAACCAGACTTTTTTCCAAGTCATTCTGGGTCGTTTCTTTTGGTCCATCATGAAATTTGCACACAACGTGAAGAGAAACAGGCATTTTCAAATTATGTCAAAAACTGAAAAACGACAAAACTGAGAAATGAAGTTTTCTTCCAACAGCAGCGACATAGAAAAACAGCTAGCTCTGAATTCAGTGTTTCTGTGATGCCACAAAAACCAATGCATTTACATAAATCAGCCTTTCCAGCCTACAGCTGTTTAGCTCCGCCCACTCACTCTGAAGTTCTAAGTTTTATGTCTCATTCAAAAAGTGTTTCAGTCCCAACTTTGTGAATGAGGCACAGCCAATCAGAGCAATCAGAGCTAATTTGCATATATCAGCCTTAAAGGCACAGTAACGAAAACAGCCGGAATTCAGAAAATGGTCATGTACAAAATGAATTAGGACTGTTTTTAAATTAAAAAATGTGTCAAAATGCTTAAAAATGTGTCAGAGATGCTGCCAAAGGTGCCTCTTTCTCTAAAGAACCTTTCAATGGATGGTTCTTTCGAGAACCCTTTTTTGTAAACGAGATGTGAGAAACATTTTAAAGTTTAAAGAATGTCCACATGATGTAAAGGTTCTTGGAAGAACCCTTAAATTGATATAGACAGGTGTTTTGAAACTTTCTTCCCAGCCATAAATTTTACTTTTGGAAACCAAAAGTGCTTTGTGAGAGTAAAGAATCTTTTGAAGTTTAAAGAGCCTCCATATAATGTAAAGGTTCTAGGAAGAGCCTGTAAACTGGTACAGAAGGTTTACATCATGTGAAGGTTCTTTAAGCCTTGAGAACCTCCTTCCCACTCACAAATACCTTTTTTTAAATATGATTCTTTGGAAATTCAGAAGAGGTTTTTGAGAGTAAAGAACCTTTTAAAGTTTGCTGAACCTCCACATAGTGTGAAGGTTGGTGTAGGACCTTTACATTATGCGAAGGTTCTTTAAACCTCTAGAAGGTTCTTTACATGCACAAATCCCTTTAAACCCCTTTAAACCGAAGGTGAAGGTTCTTCACATTTACACATCCTGTTTAAAAAATAGTTCTTTAGGGAGCCAAAAGTGGTTCTTCCATGACTCAGAGAACCTTTGTGGAGCCTTTAATGTACAGTTTAATTGAGTGGAAATGTGTGACATATTTAAATGAAGTTTAATTCATTATTTTGATCATGAGAAATAAGCCATATAAATAAGAACGAGGCTGATGATGATGAAGATAACATCTCGTCTCTTCATCCTGTCCCGTTCCAGGTGGCCACCAATGGAATCATCTCCACTCAGGATCTGCCCATGGAGAAGCAGTATGTTGACGATGGGTTCCCCACTGAATTCCCCGTCATCGCTCCGTTTCTTGCGGACATTGACACCAGTAACGGAAAAGGAGCCATTTACTACCGGCAGACAGAAGCCCCCGGCGTGCTGAACCGGGTCGCTGCTGAGGTCCAGAGAGGCTTCCCCGGCTCACAGTTCACCCCGACCCACGCAGTCATCGCCACCTGGGAGAACGTGGCAGCTTATGAGGAAGTCAGCCGCTCTTCTGAGTTACGGGTAAGATTGCGGTGATTTCTGTACAGCATCAAAAAAATGAGCTCTCATTTACTTTAATGGAAACACTGTCAGTGTCAAAACTAGGCATCTGGGTGCCTATCAGAGTAAAGGGGGCGGGGCATATGCTGTACACACCCACAACTTTTTATAAAGTTGTTTTTGAACGATTTTACCAAAGAGTTTAGAACACATTTTAACTGATTTCACTTTAGACTAAAATCCTTTTGCTTTAAATGACCCTAAACCTTAATTATGTTCATTTTATTAAAACAAATGATCAAACATTCCATTTTGTCTCTAACAATCCTAAAACTACTGAAACTTTGCCAAATGTTTCAGTAGTGACTGTGTCTGTAGTGACAGTTTTAGCTATGTGTTTCCATTTGATATCAGAACTATAACTTTACCAAATGTTTCAGTAGTGACTGTTTCGGTAGCAACAATTTTAACTTATTTTGAGCAGAACTCAAAAACTCAGCCATTACAAGACTAGCAATCACGGCTTAGAACAGTGTTTCATTAAAACACTAAAAAGTTTACTTAATTATGGAAAATATATGTTTTCGTTTGATATCAGAACTATAACTTTACCAAATGTTTCAGTAGTGACTGTTTCTGTAGTGACAATTTTAGCTCTGTGTTTCCGTTTGATATGAGAACTAAAACTTTACCAAATGTGTAAATGTGTAAACAATATTAGTGGTTTTAACTTTAAAAAGTGAGTAAGCGGTCTGCCTTAAAACTTTGAATTCATTACGTTTCTAATACATAACAACAATAATCTACGTTCAGGGCCAGATCTTGGAAACCTGGATTTTATTGTGCTTTTTTGAATGTACATAAACAGTCTGTACAGTCCAAACATGGAAATGATGAATTTATTTTAAATTCATTGTTTTTTTGATGTCACGAAAACCAAATCATTTACATACATCTGCCTATTTAACCTACAGCAGGTTAGCTCCGCCCACTCAAGCTAAAGTTATAAGGAGCGTTTCAGCCCAGGCTGCTTTTTGAATGACACACAATACAGGGCAGCCAATCAGAACAAAGCTCATTTACATATATCAATCTTAAAGACACAGAAACATGTAAACATTAATTACGGCTGTTTTTTGGTACATAAAGTTGCAAAAATGCCTTAAGCAGACCTTATAAGAAAAATACAGCAAACTGTAATTTGCAGTTTAATAAAAGTACGTTAGGCAGCCCTGGTTAACTTTCTGTTTAAGTTGAAAACATTACATCATTTGCTGTATCATTTCCTGCTTTGGAAGCTGAGTATACAGATAGAAACTCACCCTGAGAATCCTCTGGGAGTGGTTTGAACTATTTGACCCTGAAGCTCTGGGGATTAGCCCCGCGCCTCCTGACCTCCCTGCAGGCGCAGGTTATCAGCCTGGGCCATCAGTCGTCTCTCCTAACTTAATTCCCCCCTCCGCTGCTTTAATTGCGAGCCCACAGGGCACCTGTGCACACAATGCTTCTCCTCACGAACTACTAATCTATCCCAGAATCCTTCCAGCCTCTAATTTCCCTGCAATTCACAGGAAAAAGTGGTGGCTGATGACTCGCATGTTCTCTGCCACCAGTAACTAAAGATTTTGAGCTCTTTACTTACAGGACACAAGTGAGAAGGAAGGACACGAGCTGTTTAGGATCTAAATGAACCCTTAAAAGTGTAGATTTATTACTGCTGATGAGCTCAGTGTAGTTAGTAGCGGTGTGGCGATTCACAGGGTTCATTCTCGATTCAGTGTGATTTTCAATACAGTAACAATCAGGAAAACCTTAAAAAGTTCCTTTAGTAATAAAAGTATTGTAGCTGTCCCAGTTTGACGTTCTAGCCACATGCTAATATATTAGTCCCAAGATGCTAGTCATGATACAGTGATACGATATGATGTGATATATGTGGTATTGTTACATTCTTAATTGTTAGTCGTAATAAATTACATTTCATTTTAATGTAAATTGTACATAGACGGGCTGAAAGTCTGAACTTGGGACTTTTCTCTGTTTGTTTTGAAGGGAAAAAATGAAAAAACTAAACTTCTGATGAAAGAACTTTTCTGTCTGCATTAAACCAAGACTGCACTGCAAAAATCAGCGTCAAAAAAACAAAAAGCAAAAACAAATCACTGAAAAGATACTTGAGTCAGCTAAATTATCTGCCTATATTGCGAGAAATTTTAACCTTATAAGATTTCTTAAAATAAGAACAAAAGATCTTGTGGTGTAAATGATCTTATAATCTCAATATCAGTAAATAATTCATTGGTTTAAGGCATTGTGGTTGGATTTATATCCATTTATATCCAGATGTTATAATAATTATTTTAAATGAGCAAAAACTAGCGCGTTATTGCTGTCTAAAGAAAAACAAATACCTCCAAAATAGTAGCTTTATAGGAGATGGCAAAAACGTTCTTAACTTCTAAGGGAAGTTAATGAAAACAGATTTGAGATGAGAAAGTTTGAACAAGCTTCAAGCTCAATTTTAGAGAAACTTTGCAAAACATCTTTAAAACAGTCATAAATCAACACTGTAATGCTTAAAAACAAGATCCATTCCTGAAATTACTTTCCTAAAACAAGGCATTACATTTTAAAAAGGTGGACAGATAATAATAAATTGTTTGTTTACTCCAAAAAGATGAAACATTGTATATTCAAATGAAATCTTCATTTCAGCCAGAAAGCCTTGAAAATGAACAGTAGGTCTTGCTTTTTATTTAAACATTAACAGCTTATGATTTGATTTGTATGTATAGGATTTATCAGTTTCAAAATGACTGTAAAACTAGGCGTCAGTCTAGTTTGATTCTTAAAATCAATTACAAGTCCTGAAATTTCCAAACTTCTTAGTCCTCTCAAAAAAGTTTCTTATTTCATTTTAAGAAGTCGGTATAATTAGCTTATATGTCTAAATAAGATTAAAAAGATAGGCTAGATTTAAGATGTTTCCACTCTCCAGGATATGTTTTCAGTATGAAGTACTTAAACTGGTTTAAAGCATTTGAGAGATCTTTAATTAAAGGTGCCATATCATGCTCTTTTTCCAGTATTCATAATTTAATGTTTGGGCTCTACTAGAACAGATTTACGCACCTCAATGTTCCGGAAACATGCAATTTTTCTTATACTGTACATCTCTATTCACCCTCTGTCTGAAACGTTCTCTTAGAGCTCCTGTGTCTTTAAGTCCCGCCTCCCAATGAGCCCAGTGTGCTCTGATTGGTCAGCTCGCTCGCTCTGTTCTGATTGGTCGACGGCCGGAGCGGTTCCGCCCGTCCATGTTCCGCCCCTGTCCTGCAGTCTACAGACAGACCCTGAGGGGAGGCTCAGCGTTTAAATGCAGTAAGACATACGAAGCAGCGTGTTGAGTGTCGCTGCTTTATTCCTCGGAGCTGGAATGAATGGACTGCTCTGTTGTTCATGCTTGCGGTGCATGTTTGGCTTTCTCCTCCGGGCCTATGGAGAGACACAGCTGCACTGCACGTTAAACATTATCTTTAGTTATTTATTACTTCAGACAACAGTCCGACGGCGCTCCTCACAGAGATCGTCCTCGTGTTTATATCCAGTGGTCAAGAGTTTCACTAGAGTCCAGACAGCGCATAAACAGAGCTTGAATAATTACTTCATCTTCTGCAGCATCCAGGGAGGTGGATGTTACTGAGAGAGGAAGTAACAGCTTGTAATCTATCACGTCAACGGCAGCGGACGACTCAGTGTCTCTGCGGGAGGTCAGCAAAGAAACAGCCCTTAACAGAGTCTGGAAGGAACGGTTTGGCAAAAAATCAGCTTCTTCCTTAACAAGTCGGCACAGTTTGAAGCAAGTGTGATGATTTAGGTATGCAGTTAGCACCATGCTAATTGGTGGGGTACAAGAGACCACCCGTCATTTATTTAATCTCCTGTTAAAAAGGTCACTGAGTACATCACAGCTGTTACGAAGCCATTACTGAGAAAAGGGCTGTCGTTCTCAGAACAGCGGCCTGTTAAATTTGTTTTGTGAGAAGCAGAAAATGATCAAACAACTTCTAAGACTGAACTTTGGAGGTGTGTCTGCAGATTCTTTGAGGAACTGAAACTGAGTCCCCTGAAAAGAATGGAAGCTACCATAAAGGTACAGAGTGACACACTGAATGCTGAACAGTGTGAAGGTTTATATAGTTTTTCAAGCTTCTGGACAATTTTCAGTTAAATATACAGTTGTATGCAAAAGTTTAGGTGCAGAAGTTTTAATTCGCAGTGACTTTTTATTGACTGAATTTAACACATTGGGGCAAAAAAAAAGCAAATTTGCAGAAAAGTGTCATGCTTAAGTGTGTTGTCTGTAGAAAATGTGTTATTTTCTCATGTAAAATCAGCAAAACATGTCATCTGACTGGGGTGTATAAACTTTTGCACACAACTGCATGCTTTCTGCTTTTTTCCTGACACTGAAAATTGAATAACTTGCACTTAATGGTTCTTTTGATTTAAAATTAAAGGTGGCGCTTTATTTTGAGTTAGAGGCAAGTGTGGATGCTAATTGGTGGGGTATAAGTTTACATTGCTTGTTAGCCACATTATCCTTAAGGCTCCAATGCAGTGCTAAGAAACGAACCTTAGATACCAAACATGTTCACTTACATTTTGAAAAACTGTTCATGTTAGATTGTGGGCAGACTGTGCCTTTAATATCAGTGATAAATAAAGCAATTCTCTGCTGTCTGAACAAAACCTTGTTTCTCCAAAAAGGCAACTTTACAGGACAAGGAAAAAAGTTCTTAACTTTTAATGGAAGTAAATGGGGGAATATTTTTTCCCAAGTAATTTTGGGCCATTTATGTTGGTCCTTTCATCATGAAATTTTGACATAAAGGGCAACTGCCTTTCTCAAATTATGCCAAATAATGGAAAACGAGGAAAATAGAGATGCAAGGTTTTGTCCTGACAGCAATGATTCATAAAAGCCAGTCTAAATGCTTTCTCCGAAGGTGACTGTGTCT